GCGCGCCAGGGGCCGGGAGCCCGCGCCGCGCAGCCGGGCAGCCGGGCGCGCCGGGGGTGGGTCCCTCTCCCCAGCCCGGCTCTGCGTGGAAGAAGAGGGCGGGGACCGGCGCGGGGAGGAGAGCGGAGGAGGAGAAGGGGGCATGACTCGTGCAACTTGCGGCGGGCATCTGCCGAGCCTCTGAGCCGGCGGCGGCCCGGGGCCCGGATTGCGGCCGCGCCGATCCCACCCAGCCCACCCCGCCCCGGCCGACGGCTGCGGCTGACCTGGATCCTCGGAGCGCCCGCCGGCCGGCAGTGATCCGCCTTCGTCTTCCGGGCTGGTTTCTGGAGCGCGAGGAGCGCTCTCCTCGCGGCCCCTCTCGCCGGACCCCCGGCCCCCGATGGCTCGGATGGGGCTTGCGGGCGCCGCTGGACGCTGGTGGGGACTCGCTCTCGGCTTAACTGCATTCTTCCTTCCAGGTAAGCGCGTTCCGCCTCTGCCTTTTTTTTTTTTTTTTTCTTTTTTTCATCCAATGCCTTCCTGGGGCTGGGAGCTGGATGGCGGGCACGTCTGGGTTGTAGGGAGTGAAAGGAGCCAGAAAAGTTAGGTCACGGCTTAGGTAAGGGGGAGGCGAGGGGCACGGCGCAGAAAAAGAGGTTGAGAAGCCGAACAGCCTGCCCTGCAGGGAAGCAGTCGGATGCACGTCTCTATGTAGCAAGAAAGCACTTTCTCCCCTCAGTTTTTCACAAAAATAATAATATGTAATAGCGTTCTATTTATTTAATAACCAGCTCTCAGCTTGGGAAGCAGTTTGGAAACACTGCATGTTACATAAATGCAAAATAATCACGGTAATCACCATCTCGGGGTATGAGACAACAGCCCCAGGGGGAGGGCGTCAGTCTCGGAGCTGGTGGGCTGTGGGTTTGGAGGATGGCATGGGGGCTGCGTTTCCTTCGCCGGCCCCTTTGCCAGACGGTCTCGGGCGCTCGGGTCCGCTCCCGTCCCACGTCGCCCCACAGCGGGCGCGGAGAGCCGGCTTCTGCGGCACAGGCGGCGCTCCGCTCACCTGCGGTTCCTTTCCCGGGATCGCAGCTTCCCGGCCTGGCGCGGGGCTGGGCTTCGCCTCGGAACTCCGTTCCCAGTTAGGGCGGCTGTCCCCGGAGGAGGCTCCTCGGGCTTCGCGCCAGCCAGGTGGCTGCATGACCCACTTTCCCGAGAGTGCCCCTCGTGTCCTTCCTCGAGGTGCCGGCGGTCGAGGGGTTAACCCGACGCCGACCCTGGGGTGGCCCACGGTGGCCCCTCTGACGGGTGGGGTGGGGGCGGAGGCTGGGACCGGCCCGGGCGTATTGTGCAGGGGAATGAACTGGAAAATGCGTTTAGGAGGCAAATCCGGCCGAGTCCCCTCGCCTGGATTTAACCCTTTGTGTCCCTGGGGAAGCTGCCGGGCACGGTGGCTGGCCACGCCAGCGCGGGTCCGGGTGGGGGTGGGGTGCCTCCAGCCCACTGGGAAGAAACCTGAGACGACCTCCTGCTCAAGCTAGATTGGGGTTTTGGGGGGACGGTAGGGGTTTGGTTGGAACACGTGGTCCTGGCTTTAGGATGGCAGAATAAGAGGTCGGAGTACAGCAAGACCAGCTCTGCGCGGGGCAAGAATATCTATTAGATCGCAGCCGCCGCTGGCAGCGACCTGAAGGAGGTACCTTCGATGCTGCAGACTCACGGGGCAGTTTGTGATCAAGGGACCAGCCTGGCTGCCGAGTTAGGCTGTAGTGCACTCCTGGGAGGCAGGAACCTGGCTTCATTGGCTTCTATACCCCTTTTGGTCCAGCTCACTGCCAGGACTCTGCACATCTCGCTGAGTGGCCGATGGCATCCAAAGCAGTTTGTAGGAGCCCAGCCACCACGGTGCCCCCACCCCTGCAGCCTGAGGGTACTGCCCTGCTAGGTGTGTGCAGAGACAAATTGCAGGACACAGGGGTGGCACTGCCTGTTTCAAAGGGGCCTGACAGAGTTCCTCCCTCGGAGGGTGGTCGTGGTGAGAGTGCGAGGTCTTCCTCTCCCGCTGGACCCCCTGGGCAGCTGGCAGGAGATAGCAGAAGCTCAGGCTCTAGGACTTGTCTGACTGTTGGGGTTTGGGCTTCTGGAACTCTTGAACTGCACAGTGTCCAGGGCCAAAACCCAGCAAGAAGAGAGCTTTCTTGGGGGCTCTAGTTGATCTGGCACACTAGGAGTTAAAGGGCAGGAAGGTTAGAGGAGGGAACAATTTACCCCCATTCCCCTCTCCTTTTGTTTTCTCTTCCCCCAGCTTGGTGATGCATAGTGGTTGATTCCTTCTTTGGGGGGCTGGAGACCTTCCCTGTTCCACCCCACTCAGGAAGTGGGGGCAGGGAGGTGACACTCTCACTTGGCTCAAGTGTGGGCACTCCCCCAACAAAAAATCCAGATTGAGGGAATGGGATGCAGAGAAGGGACCACAGCTCAGACAGGCTTGATTGGATTGATCAATTGTTATGGCTGGGTAGCATCAGCAGCCCAGCCGGAGTTCCTGCCCTCGCCAGCTCCTCTACCCAGTGCCTGTGCCCCTGGGGCCTCTGTGAAGGGAGGCAGGTGGATATGGTAGTGCCCATCTGACCCTTGGGCAGAAGCTGGTAGGCCCAGAACTCGCCTGCCCACATCCCACTTTCCACCACCCTCTGGCTTCCTCCTGATTGCCTGCTGCTGCTGCTTCTCTCTGGGGACTTGCCAGTCTGATGCTCTTTTCTGGGTTCTTCTGGGCTGTGGCAGGGAGCATGGAGGGGTGAGGAGAGGAGCCTCTGGGGGTAACGGGGTGGGGAGCACCTGCTGTGTGTGTGATGGCCCCCTGACTTCAGAACACTCCAAATCTGGCTATTGAAGTGTCAACACAGAAGTCTGTTTTCGACAACACAGACTTCACCAGGCAGGGTGGTGAAGCCCCACAAGCCTCTAAGATGACAGTCTGTGGTTCTTGCCCGTTAACTCAGGGGAGGCCAGTGGGGACAGGGGCTGCATCCCAAAGAGGGACAGGAGGAGCCTGGGGGAGGAGACAGAGAACCTGCCTTAGAAGCAGGTGCGCTGAGCTGGTGTCCCACCTACACCACACCCTCCCTAATTGGCTTCCCCAAACCTTTTGTCTGGAAAGAGAATACACACCCCAGGTGTCATGCACACCCTCGGAAGACCTGTTGGGCCGCAGCACACCCCTTCTCTGCAGCCTCTGCAGAGCTCGCTGTCAGGGTAGTTTCCTTTGAAACTCAGAGTGTCAGGGCTGTTGGCGTATTTTCCTCTCGCCCCGTTTCTCACAGACAGGCATGTATTGGGCTGGCTGGGCAGGATGTTACGGCAAAACCAATTCCGCTGGCCTGGGGTTTGCAGCATGTGTAAACGGGAATCTCAGTGTCCGTTTTGGAGGCAGCGCTGTGGAGAGTGTCTCAGAATCCGATTCAAGGCCTAATAGTCAAGGCTGGAAGGGAGGAGGGGATATTGCAGAGCCTGGGCCCAGCACCCCCGGCTGAGTGGACTAGAAGGTGTCTCAGAGCCTGACCGTCCATGGCCCGATGAGCTGTGATGCATTGTTGATTCTGATATCAGTTCCCTTCGCCGCCACTCAGCTTTGCACAATGAATCCACTTCGTTGGCCATTGCCTGACTCCAGATCCAGTTGCATGCTGCCAGGATCGTCGCCGGCCAGCATCCTGGTGCTGATGGCTGAGCAAGTGGGCCAGGCCCTGGGCAGAGGGTCGGCCCCAGTTGCTCTGTCTACGATACTGCCATTGTCTAGCAGCTGACTAATGTTCATTGTTCAGCACAAACAAAACACCCAAGGGAGGTGTGAATGTACCTTCGATTTTCCTGATTGTATCTTTCCTGGTTAACCTGGCAAATTAAATGGCTCCTACCTTTGGGAGGGACAGACAGAGTGGGTGTCTGTGTATGCATCTGTTGTGCTAATTTTTTTTTTTAACTTCGAATTTTAGCCAGTGTGCCAGGCTAAAATGGACATTAGCCAGCTGTGGGACTTAGCTTATAATATTTCTGACCATCTGCATATAGTCTCACCTTCACTATAGAGCGTGTGCATACATGCATGTGTGCAGGGCTTTGTGTGTTTGTGTTGGTTATCTACAAGTCACTGCACTGTGCACGTGCAGACCCATGGGGACTAGGACAAGGAGGTGTGGGCACTGGTATCTGTGAGTCACCATAGGACTGGAGCCATAAACATATATCAAATATATATGCACGTATAACTGACTTCTTAGGGCTTTCTGACTGGGATTTTGTGAGTGGCCTTGATAATGCCCGTGTTTATGTCAGAGTGTCAGTGAGGGTGACTTTGGAGGAGACTTAGGGTTTGCCCTTAGCCAGCCCCTTCCAAGACGAGCTGCCGGGTCCCCTGGAGTGGGAAGCCTGGACAGTGCTTTCTTTTTCTGCTCTGACCTTGGCTTCAGATAGGGCCTCCGCATCCTCAGGGAGATGCTCACCTGGAGAGACCTTCCTCTTTTGTTAGCCTCCAGTTGTCTCCCTGGCAGACAGAGCAGCTCTGGAACCTGGTGTTAACTGGGGCCTCGCTTGCCCACGGCTTCTCATGATCTCTGAACAGCTGGGAGGAGCCATGGGAGATAGATTTTCAGCTACTAATTAGGAATCTTTGCTTCCTGCGTGAATACTTGGGGAAGAAGATCATCCAGGGAGAAAGGTGGCATACTCTAGGAATTTAAAAAGGAGCGTGAGTATGGGCTCTGCTCCTGCATGAATAGCCCTGCAGAACCACATGTGTGCCCAGACTGGCAACATACGTGTGCCTGGAAGCATTCCGGTTCATGCAGCAGAAAGCAGGAGCCGCCTTGTTGGAAAGAGAAGTGGGAATGAGGGTCAAGGAGTAGGGAAGAGGGCAGTCCTGGGAGCCCAGCACCCTGTGCCCAAGTCCAGCTGGCAAGTGCTTCTCCCCCGTGATGCCCGCCCCTCTCCATAGAGACCAGGTCTGCAGAGCCCGCAGCAGATGTGGTGGCTGGGGTAGGAGGTAACTTAAGATCTGAGCAGGGATCACCTTGCAAAGGGAATGCCCTGAGCTGGAGATAACACCCCTTTGTCCAGTTAACCGTTTAATCTCTGAATTCTATTGTGTGGTTTGGGGCTGGGAGCTGGGGAGAGGGAAAGTTTAGGAGAAAACCCATCAGACCCATTCCACAGGGAGAGATTACTCAGTGCAACAGAAGAGACCCAAGAAGGACACAGAGGAAGACTTCCTGACAGGAGACTGTAGGCTTTTTAGGGCAATGGAAAATCCCAACGTTTATCCTGGGATGGGAGAGTGGGGGGCAATAGGTATGTATTCTCAGGTGCTTATGGGATCTGTGCCTTTCAGTCTTCCAGGACAGAGCAGCAGTTGTCCAAGGCTCTAGTCAAGAGGGAGCCACAGGTAGCTCGGGCCCCTAGAACCTGGAGATTACCCCAT